AATAAAACTTTAAAAGGAAATGTTATCTCCTCTGAGAAATTCTGAAGTACTATTCACAATACATAAAAGATGAAATCAACCTGTGTCTATCGATAGATCACTAGATGAAGAAAGCATAATATAATACTATTGAACATTATTTGAACATAAAATAAATGCAAATCCTGTCACAAACATCAATGTGGATAAACTTGGGAAGCACTGTATTTGTTGAAATAAATTGGGCACAATAAGATAAATTTTACATGATCTCATCCATGTGTGAAATTTCAAAAGGTTGATCCCATAGAAATAGTAGAAGGGTTGCCAGCAGGTGGTAGAACGCTCAGTTTTTTGTGTTAGGAAAATGTTGGCCAAAGGCTACAAAATTTCATTTGGATGGAAGAAATGAGTTCTACTATACCACATGGCAACTGTATTTAATAACGATATATTGTATTTCTGAAAAATATTAGGCAGATAAGTATTTTCACTATGAAAATATTAACATCTTATGTAACATTTTTAGATTTAAATATTTAATAATATAAAACTACTTCTATATATCATACTGTATAGAAAAATATATATATAATTCACCTATATAAATAATATAATTTGTCAAACAAAAATTTAGCATAAACAAAAATAAAAGAGTTGTTTTTCTCTGTAACACTGTGGACCATGAATTATTTCTAAAATATGCAAAGGTTTTTAAAGTAGATAAACCAGACAGAGAGGTTCCTGTGATTTGTTCTTTTTAGAAATTAACCTTTCTTTTTGGGACATCTTATGACTTATAAATCAAATTAAAATTGCATTTTTATTAGAGGAAATAAATCCATCTCCCCCTGCCTCTACCATAAAACTAGGTGAGAAATTTCCACTCACTACCTTCTTTTACCCAAGGGAATTGAATTATTTGGAGAGTAGACAAAAAATGTAGCAATTTATTTAATAGGAGCTCTGAGAATTCAAACATTGAGAAAGTAGAACATTTAATAACACTCATGGTGCCCCTCACTTTTATTTCTCTGGTATCATCCTCAACAAAAACCAAAGTGGGCTTCCTGGGGAGAAATCTTCAGTGAACAGCTGTGGAAAGATTCAGGGTGCACCAGTGAGGGCTAGTGGAGCAAGGAATAGAAGAAGAGAGAATGTGGCTCTGAAATTTACCTCTAAAATAGAATGACAAGTCTTTTCTTTGTTATTGTGTTCCAAGAGGAAGTCCTTGCACATTAATGACACTTCTTTAGTTTCTACAGAGAATTGTTTCTCACAGGTACTCCTGTGTTTCATTATTTAGTTCTTTGTTATCTAAAGTCTCTTTCCATTAAGAGTTACTTTCATGAGAGTCTATAACTCTTTGAAACTCTTTCCTGTAATTTGGAATCTCCTTTCAGGTGTACTGCACCTGATTATTTCCTACTTATTGAAGACCTGTAGTGTACAATGTATGGTCTATTTTGTTTGAGACTTGATTGGAGTTTTGGGTACATTCCCTAAATATTTTTTTCTAGCACATTAGGCTTACACTTTTATTAGCTGTATTTTGTTATGATTTCACCTTGATATCCACAATATACTTAATTAAATTTCTTATGATGTTCAATTTCTATTTCTTGTGTTACCAACCGTTAATTTTTAGATTTTTATTTTTAGTGTTTTTGCAGTACTAGGGGTGACCTTTGACCATGTGCATGCTGGTGAATAGCTCTTCCACAGAGTTTCTTCCTCCGTCCAACAGTCCCTTTAAATTTTCAACCAAGTATGAAGTGATTGATGTTGGAAAAGAATTTCTTGGCATGCTCTTCAATTTAACACAAATACTATTACTTTTGTAATGTAACATCTGTTGCAAGTGGATTGAGTAAAAACATTTTAGTTGGTTAGATAATTTTCCTTGGTTTCTTATGTTACTTATACACTCACCTGTGCCATCTACCCAGAACGTACCGGCTATATTTTCAAAATGCGTTGTGCATATTGTGTTTGTAGTTATTATTTCACTTCATTGAGATAGTTTGTGTTGTGTTATACATTATTTGTATTAAATTGGCTTCTATTTGCAAAATTGGTATTAGTTTTTAATCCTTCATTATTGTCTTAAAATTGACGTAAATGCATTTTATCTACCTTAACTATACTTTTCTTATTTTAGCCTTACAATAAGTTGAGGATTTCTCTTTTGTCCAATATTACTTGTTTGTCATACAGGGGATTGAACTCAGAGCCTACACCTTGATTCACTTCTCTTGTATTTTTTGTGGTGAGTTTTTTCAAGATAGGTCCTCACAAATTGTTTACTTGGACTGATTTTGAACCGTGAACCTCCTGATATCTGTCTCCTGAGAAACTAGAATTACATACTACAAATTTTGATCTCAGTATTTATTTTGCACCCAACATTTGTATTTGGTTAGCACCTAATATGTGGTAAGTATGATGTGAATCCCTTAAAAGAATGACTGAAGACATAAAACTATCATAAAACAGACTTGAATATTAACATGAATTTACCAATGTGAGAGGAACATTGAGGAAAAATTGGGGAAGCTAAACTGTGGCCTCACACACTTGGTTGCTTCTTCCACTTATCCTTTGCTTCCCATCACAATTTGTCTCTTACATCAAGCTCACCATGGAGAAACACGCATTTTGTTATTTTACTGTGTCCTATTTTTCATTTTTACTTTCCCTGATTAACAAAACCCATTATTCATTTCTTAGCTCAAATATTTCTATTTCAGTATAGACTCTCTTGTACACTGCCCAAACTAAAATGGTCATCAATTATTTTTTTTATGTTGAATTAATGTTCCTTCTCTAGACATTCAATTATACTGACCTTTTCTGTCATAGTATATATGTATGTATGTAGTATTTGAATCTTTGATTTCCTTTAACTTTCTCTAGGATGGATATTTAAATTAAACCACTTTTTCTGCATGTTTATTAATTATGAAAACACTAAATCAAACCCATGTACATAGATTGACCATTAATATGGTACATGTTCACTCATGATCATGGATACATGAGCACACACTACCACATGGGTGATGTATATTATTTTAATATTAGCATAATATTTTTGTCCCCTTATCTATGTAGTACTATTTCCTCTTCTGGGAATATTATCAAGTTAGTATTACCCAAGAAGCTATGGGGATCTTCAGTAATTCAAAGTGCCCTATGGCAGTACTCTTTGGTAACATAACTATTGTATTTATATTAATTAAAATATCATCCATGATGGCTGTCCCAGTTTAAGTGGATTTTGCAAATAAAACCCATACAGGAAAAGATTGATTGAGGTGTTAGGAGTAGAAGTTTACAAGGTGGGTTAGTGCAGGCCTACAATTCTAGCACTCAGGAGTTGGACGCAGAACCATTGTTAGTTTGAGGCTAGCATTGAGGCATCTCCTGAAGGATGTGAAAAGATCACAGAGAAAAAAACCACATAAGTTTGCATTTATGAGCAGCTCATATATGTTACAGGAAAAACAGTATAAATAACATTACTTCATTTAATTCTGTTCCTCAATACTATCATTTAGTGATACTTACTACACATGTGGAAAGGTTTGGAACTTGTAGTTTACACTTTAAAAATCTTTGTCAAGATCACAGATATGGTGACCAAAATTATACTCCAGGAAGCCAGACTCATGAATCACAATTCTATTTTTTTATTAAGCAATTATGCTAGCATTTTATTAATTCAAAAATCACTTTATAAAAATATATGTGTATATACCAATAGGAATGTTATACATGGACTCATTATTCGCAGATTTTGAGTTTGCAAGAAAAAATGGGCCTTCAAGTTAAACAAAAATTTATAACCAAAACTTTAATCCCAAGGATTCTCATAAAACATATTACAAATTACAGCATGAAAAAGATTTCACAGTAACTCAGAAGTTCAGCTCTATAATGTATTCTTACTTGAGAGGTCATTGGTATTTTAAGACCTCAAATTTCCAAATAAATAATGTTATAGTTGCATATTTATCAAAAACAACTACATATGGAATTTATAGCACAAGCAAAAGTAAGCTTTCTCAAAACTTACCAGATTCTATACCAACTGGTTAACTTCTGCACAGGGTTTATACTAGCTAGATTTTTGAAAAACCTCTCATTTAGTTTAATAGTGCAGCTTTTACCATTCCTTGTTGGTCTGTGAACACAGCTACTTTTAAAGAATGTTTATTCATCTACTGCTGTTTTCTGTATCCCAGTTATCCATTTTTTGCTGTTTAATTTTCTATACCACAAGTACATCACACTTTACTAAGGCAGGATTTAGATCAAAGTTTTGTACCATATGTTGGGAGATTTTTTTATAGTCTTTACATCATAAATGAGTTTAAATGTCAGTAATAATAATAATAATTATCATGGTGAGATATCTATGGAGTAAAAAGTCATTTTAATCTCCTATTAAGATAATAACCATAAGCTCATTTTTGAAGAGAAAAATAATGTTCTGAGAGAGAACAATCACATGACTATAATGTGTGAAGATGTAGATACAAATTGTTGGAAATAAACATTCCAGTTTCATTACTGTAACACAGTTATAGCATGGAAAAGTATAGAGATTACCAAAGAAATGATGTGAAGGGCTCCAATTCTTTTGAAATGGTCATTTAAAAAATAGTACCTAGATTTAAAAAGAGGAGTAAAAACTGGAAGCTAATGATTAATAAGAGAGATTTCTGCTAATTTAAAGAAAATCTGGGACTGACAGTGTGGCTCAAGTGCCAGAGCATCTCCTTACTGAACATGAAGCCCTGAGTTCAAACCCAGGTACCACCAAAACATATAAAGTCTGATTGATTATATACACAAAAAAGATAAATATGCCACCATATGGCTAAATAAATCACTCAGAGTTATAATCAATACAAGAGTAAGAAAATCAATCCAAGATTGTGTTTAAGTGATAACTAACTGCTGCTATTCATTTAATGTTGCTTTTTTCCTGTTTTCTCAGATGATACACCATCTACATGGAATCAAAAAACCATACAGGCATAACACAATTCCTCCTCCTTGGGCTTTTAGATGATCTTGAATTGGATCCCCTACTTTTTGGGGTGTTCCTGTCTATGTACTTGGTTTCCGTGGTTGGGAACCTGCTCATCATGCTAGCCACGTGTATTGATACCCAACTCCACACCCCCATGTACTTTTTTCTTTTCAACTTGTCCTTTGTTGACATCTGTTTCATTTCTACCACTGTCCCAAAGATGCTGGTGAACATACAGATGCAAAGAAAAGACATCTCCTACACAGAGTGCCTTACTCAGGCATATTTTTTTATTATTTTCCTTGGAATGGAGAATTTCATATTGACTGTGATGGCTTATGACCGTTTTGTGGCCATCTGCCACCCCCTGAACTACAGAGTCATCATGAACCCTTGGCTCTGTGTCCTTCTGGTTTTGATATCTTGGGTCATCATGTTCTGGATAGCCCTTGTACATATTCTACTACTAACAAAATTGACCTTCTCTATAGGCACTGAAATCTCACATTTCTTCTGTGAACTTGACCAGCTTCTTCAGGTGACCAATTCTGATACACTCATCAATAACATCTTTGTATATGTTGTCACTGCACTTCTGGGTTTCTTTCCTGTGACAGGGATTCTCTTCTCTTATTCTCGTATTATCTCCTCTTTAATGAGAATGACTTCTGTTGCAAGCAAGCATAAAGCACTTTCCACTTGTTCATCTCATCTCTGTGTGGTATCTTTGTATTGTGGAACAGGACTTGGAGTTTATCTCAGTTCTTCTGTGACTGACTCTACCAGGAGCAACACAGTTGCCTCAGTGATGTACACTGTGGTTACCCCCATGCTGAACCCTGTCATCTACAGCCTGAGGAACAAGGATGTAAAAGGGGCACTGAGGAGACTTCTCAGGAAAGCAGCCTCTTGGCCCTAAGAGACTACTGGACTCACACCTAATTGAGACATCGTGTCTCCTCAGGCAAATACCATGAATTTCAATATCTTGGGCCTTTTTCTTCTTTATAAGATCTGCTTCATTTCTTATATTCATTGCTGTTTGGCTTTGGAGTACTTTTATTTTTATTTCTCCCTAACTACTACTCAGTAATTCCTTTTGGATTCTTTCTTCTCTATACATGGTCTATAAACTTTGTTTTAGAAACATTCCTGAGATTTCCTCCCCAAACCATATATCAATATTTGACATAGTTTCTACAAAACATTGCATGAATATTATTATTCTTTTTGTGAATTTATTGTTGTTATGGTTTTCCTGGAAGAAATATAATGAAATCATCAAGGAAACATGATTGCTCTAAAGGAATTGTCATTTTACATGTATGACATTATCCTTAAATTTTTCTTTGAGATATATTCCTTCATTTACATAATATCTGATTGGACTTCAACTAGAGCCTGACACTGAGCACAGAACTAAATTGGATATCCTGCACTTTATTTATTTATTTAACAAAACAGTGATTTCATTATAACATTTTTCAACTTAAATATTAATAATGAAAGATAGGACTGTACAATAGGTACAATGTGTGTATGGGTAACTCATGGGGTGGAGGGTAAGTGAAAGAGATTAAGTTGAGAGTATAAGGTTGATGGACTTCATATACTTATATGAAATAGAACAAAGAAACCTCTTGCAATTGCTTTAAGTGGTTTGAGTAGGTGTTGGGGGTGAGAGACAATGGGATGATCTAATCAATATACAATATAAACTTAATCAGAACAGTCACTATGTATCTGCCTCTGTATAATGAATATATCCTAATTTGAAAAAAACATTTTCATATATAAGAAATATATAAACTTTCCACATTTAAGACAGTGCTAGCATGTATTAAAAAGGTTGAGATTAAAAAACATTTTATACACATATACAATGTAATTTTGTCATATTTATACCCCATCATGCTCTCTTGTTTTCCTCCCAGTTTGGACTGGTCCTTTACACCAAAATAGTCACCTTGTAAAAGTAGGTCTTTTTGTTGGTTTGTCTGTTTATAATTCTGGACTATGAATATGAGGAGAAAAACATGTTATATGTGTCTTTCTGTGTGTGGCTTATTTTGCTCAACAGGGTAATCTCCAATTCCACCCATTTTCCTGAAAGTGACATGATTTCATATTTCTTTATGGCTCAGTAATACTCTGCTGTGTATATATGCTGTAATTTCTTCATGCATTTACTTTGCTCTTTGGGCTCTTTGGGCTATTTTGAATAGTGCCATAATAAACATATGTCTTCAGTCATCTCTTCTGAATCCTGAGTTGGGATTCCTCTATGTAAATAACAAGCAGTGGTAAAACAGAAACATATGGAAGGTTTATTTTTAGTTTATTAAGGAATATCCATACTGATTTCCAGAGTGGCTCAATAATTTACAATTCAATGACCAGTGTATAAGAATTCCTTTTTTCTCACTCACCAGCCTTTGTTCCCTTGATGTTAAATATTCCAAGTAGGGTGGAGTGGAATCTCAATGTAGTTTTGATTAAGGTTTCCCTTACCACTGAGCATCTAGATCATTTTCATGTATTTGTTCATTTGTTTTCTTCTTTAGAGAACTATCCATTAATTTCCTTTGTTCATTAGTTGTTTATTTTCATTAGCATAATTAATTTGACAGAGGCATATATTGTGATGATTCTACAAGTATATAAGATGCTTTGATCATATTCATCCCCTCTGTTTCTTTTTTTTTAATCCATTCTACTTCCTCTATTTCATCTTTTCACAGTTTTAGTGGATTTTATAATTTTATTTCATACACATATAATGTAATTAAGTCATAGTTGAAACATATTTATAGAAAGTCCATCTGAGATGCATTGGTAGTAAAGATTTTATGCTGCTTATGTGGGATATCTTTTCCCTCTTCTGATTGTTTTCTTTAGTGTAAAAATCTTTACAATTTAATGCAATTCCATTTGACAATTCTTGCTCTTATTTTTTTACCTTTTGGAGTCCTATTCAGAAAACCATTGCTACACCTATATCTTGTGGCAGTAATTTCAGGTCTCAAGTGAAGTATTTGTTTAATTTTTCATTGATGTAGTTTCAGTCTTCTACAAGTGCATATACAGTACAAAATCATTTGCTGAAACTGCTGTCTTTTCTCCAGCATATGCTTTTGGGACCACTGACAATCAGGTAGCTGTAGCTAAATGTGATTATTTCCAAGGCTTTATGCTATTCCATTGAGTGCTCTGTTTGTTTTTGTGCCAGTACCATGCTGTATTTATTACTATGGCTCTTTGGTGTGTTATTATGGCACCTCCAAATTGTACTTTTTAAAAAGATTTCTCAGGGACATTTTGTGTTTTTCTATGGTTTTTAGGATTGCTTTTTCTATTCTGTGATGAGTATAGTGGGAATTTTAATGGGCATTGCATTGAACCTGTAGATTGTTTTTGGTATTATATTTGCCATTTTCACAATATTAATTCTGCAGATCCATGAACATGGAATTCTTCCCATCTGCTAGTATTTTATACAAGTTATTTTTTGAGTGTTTGTTTATTTTTATCTTAGAGATCTTTCATCTCCTTTGGTATGTTTATTCTTAAACATAATTTTAAGCTATTGTGAATGGGATATTTTCCTGGGTACTTTCTCAACCTTTTCATTATTGGTACATAGAAAAGCAATTAATTTTTAACATATTTATTTTTATTTTTATCATTCTTATTTTTGTATTCTACTTTTCCTAAGTGTTTACTGGATATAAGAGGATATTGGTGAAAACTTTAGAGTATTTTAAGTATAGAAACTTATCATGTGAAAATAGGGATAATTTTTGTTTCATTCACATTTGTATCCAGATTATTTCTTTTTCTTGCCTCATTACTCTGACTAAAAATTCAAGCACTATATTGTATGATAGTGGAGAGAATTTATACTCTTTCCTCTTCTTTATATCACAAGAAATACTTTTAGTTTTCCCCCATTTGGTTTGCTGTTGGCTATAGGTTTATCAAACACCATTTGGGTGAGGCAAGTTATTTCTATTCTTCATTACTTCAGGAATTTTATGATGAAGAGATATTGAATATGTTAAGGTTTTTTTCCTTATTTGTTTAGATAATCATTTGATTTTTGTCCTTAATTGTATATATGGTTTGTATTAAGTTTACTGATTTGCATATGTTGAAACAACCTAGAATCTATCCTTCAAGACAACTTTATCATGGCATATGAGCTTTCCAATGTGCTCTTGAATTTGGTTTGCAATTATACTATAAAGTAGCTGTGCATCTGTGTTCATGGAGGAAATTTGTCAATAATTATTTTTATTTGTGTGTTCTTTAAGGACACAAAAATTTTATTTTATGGAATAGTTTGAGTAGCATTCACTGAACTCTTCTTTAAATATCTGGTAGAATTAAATATTGAATCTGCCTGTCTTGAATTTCTTTGTAGGAGGCAATTTATTACTGCTCCAATCTATTTTTCATTATAGATCTTTTAAATTGTTCAGATTTTATTGGATCTCTTTGGTAGGTCATTATTTGTATAGAAATTTACCCATTTATTTGAATTTCTCAGCTTATTGCAATATGTATTATAATAATATTCCTTAACTAGCCACTGAATTTCATTGATATTTGTTGCGACATAGCCTTTTCCATATTTAATTCCAAAGGGCCTTCTCCATGTTTTTTGTGTAATTTGACTAAAGGTTGAACAATATTGTATGTCAATGCTTTTTTGTATTAATCTATTAGTTTCAATTTCATTAATTTCCACCTGGTTATGTGTTAAATCTTTATATCTATTGATTTGTGACTTGTCTTTTGCTGGTTTTTATAAGATATTATGGTGTACTGTTAAGTTATTTATTTGAAATGATTTAATTTTTTTAATTTAGTTACTGATAAGCATATAATTTTTCTGTCATCACTTTGCTGCATCCAAAAGCTCTGCTATGTTGTATTTTTATTTTCATTTAATTTAAGAATTTTTTACATTTCCCCCAGGTTTTGGCCCAGTGATTTTTCAAAAGTGGGTGTTCATTCAATCTCAGTGTGTTTGTGTATGTACTGTAGTTCCTCATGTTATTAGTTTCTAATTTTATTCAATTAAAAATAAAATAAAAATCTAAAATATTCCAGGACTACATGGGCTACATTGTCATTTTGCCTAACAATAAGGAAAAATAATGTTTTCTAAAAAATAGAAAATGAACATATCTGCTAAATTCTTAAGTAAAGACAAGCAAACTAAATCTCATAAAAGAACATGAAAATTACATGCAAACAAATTTACAATCTAGAAATTTTGTACAAATTGTTTGACACACTCAATTTATAAAGAGTGAATAAAAATCTGAACAAACAAATAAGTAATAAGGAGACTTAATTCATAATAAAATCTTTCATCAAAAGAAAATCTAGCAATTAATGGCTTTATTTCTCAATTCTTCAAAACATTTAAAATATCACTAATGCCATATCACCAGTCCTTTAAATTTTATGGAACAAATCAAGTGATAAAAATGGAGGATACCTCATTAGCATACTCACAAATTTATCACCAATACTCCAGTGATTTAAGTAGTATCCCCTGTTAGTGTGCTTTAAAAGCAGCCACTGTTTGGTACATTAGGACATTATGCAAATTTAGTGTTTATTTGCTTATTTATTTACTGACAGGCTTAACTGTGCCTGATAATCACCATGATGGCTCTTCAATTTTTTAGGACTGCATTTTCCCTTAGAATTATGATTAGGGTTTTTATTCACTGGCTCATTTTTAAATGAACTATGTTAACCAACTTTATGTGACTAAGTTTCCATTCCTGGAACTGATGTTACTTGATAATCATCCTCTGTAAAGATTAATGTACTTTAATTATTTACCTAATTTGTTGGCCAATATTAAGTTATACATAGCTAGGGTTTTAATTATGGCATTTTAATATATTCATATAATGTACTTTGATCATATTCACACGTTTTGCTTTTTCTTATCATCCCTCTACCTTCCTCGTTTCCTTTTTCCTTCTACCTCTCCAGTATGTCTGTTTTGTATGTCTAGTATGTCTAGTATGCCTTGATCTTGTTTTGTGTTCTGCTTTATTGTCAAAATGCAAGCATGTGATATGCTTGAAGATGTATTTGTGACATCACATCAAATATGAATGAACCCATTAAGTGCCTGAAAAGACAACTTATGAGACAAGGGATTGAAATGAGTTCCATAAATAAATGCAAATTTTGAATTTGAGAGGAAAATCAAGGAAGAATTTAGGGATTTCTGCTGTGGGCCTTACCACTGTACTTCCTGATCCCATCCTGTGTTTGAGATTGGGATGGACTCGTGAATTTTGTTAAGTTTCAACCACAAAGTCTAATAGGGCAACCATGTATTCTATTCACTTAGCCTGGAATATTTCTCCTCCTCTTACTTTCTGTGTTTTTATTAAAATAGTTTTTTTCTCTTCCTCACCTATGTGTAAGATTTCTTTAAGTATCATCTGCAGTATTGAGTTAGTGCTCATGTATTGATTAAGTTGTGCTTATCATAATGCTTTTTCATTATCTTTAAATTATAAATGATAGCCTTATTGGATACAGTAATCTATGTTTACAGTTATGTTCATTCAGGGTTTGAAATACAATGCTCCATGCTCTCCTATCCTTTAGATTCTGATAAAAAATCTGATATTATTATTTTGAGTTGGATTTTATTTGTGAGTATGTGAGTTGATACTTCTCTTTTGCAGTGTGTTCCTTGTTCTGTATACTTAATTTTCTTACTATTATATGATGTGGGGTTTTTCTTTCATTTTATCTATTTAGTGCTCTGTAAGAGGTGGATGACCATCTCTTTCCAATGTTTTGGGAAATTTACTAATATTATTTTTATTAATACGCTGTCTATGACTTTAACTTATATTTCTTCTCCTTTACTGATGCATATGATTTATAGATTAAGTCTTTTAATCATATCTTAGATGTCTTGTACATAGTTTATTTTTATTATTTTATTATTATCTGAATATTCTGTTTAGTCTACCTCCAATTCAAGTCTTGATATTCTGTCTTCTACTTGACTTAGTCTGCTGTTGAGACTTGCAACTGAGGTTTTAATTTGACCTATGGAGCTTTTAATCGCCAAGATTTCAGTTTGATCCATTTACAGAATTTCTTTGAATTTTTGAATTCCTCTTTCATCTTGTATTGTTTTTCTGTTGAATTCAGGTCTTTATTTGTATAGTTTTTGTTTTTTAAGAACACTTTTATTAGCCTATGTTAATCATACAGTTGTGTCATGCTCTTTGAATTCATTCACTTTGTTATTTATATATCCTTTAATTTTGTTTATCATTCTGAAATATTATTTGTAATTCTTTGCCAGTGATTTTTATCCATTTCACTGTAATTAGAATCTGTTGTGGAATTATTGGTTATCATATTCTTTCTAATATAATAAGTGTTTCTTCATTGGGATTTATGCACCTTGACTAAGTTTTTGGTTGAAGTTTTAATATCCTCTATTTTTTCAGATAAAGTATTCACAATGTTCATACTGAACTGGTCTGTGGTAGTGTTGAAGGATAGTTTCTCACCACTGGACTTTGGGCACAAGTTTGAAGCCAAACATTCACTTGACATGCTCAGTGTTCTGGGTCTTATCTCCAGCAATCTTCAGAGAGGACAAAACTAGCTGCAGAGTGAACCACAGTTGACAGGCATAACAGCTATGTACAAACAGAGAGAACTGATTTAAAACAATCATCAAGACTACATCAATAATCTTATAGAGACTAAATTGCAAGACAATAGTATGTACTAAGATTATACTTGTCAATAAGAGTAGCAATGGAAGGAGAATCATACATATAATATTAACGAGTAGTACCAGAAATACAGAGAATTATGAAAAGTTCGAAGGAATACATAAATAGATGCTGTAACAAGAAATAAGGGAATTGATAAGGAAGATTCCCCCTAACAATTTAAGAAAGAGACAATGAAACAAATAAAACCTAGCAACAACCAGTAAAACCCAAAGTATCACAATAAAGAAGAATTATAGAAGGCATAATAGAAAACAGATATAAATTAAAGGAGACAATAAACTGATCTGTTTGAACAAAGAAATAGAATAATATGAGGGGGTAGAAAGGAAATAGAGAGAGGAAGAAGGAATAATTGCAAATTAAATTTAGAAGTTAGGTGTGGTTCTTCATGTCCACTATTAAATGGTATTATCCTATTTGAAAGGATGATTTAGAGAAACTAGAAGACTCACACCAGTCTGTGTTCTATGGAAAAATCAGAACAAATCAAAAAATAAAAAAAAACTCCTCTAGAAAAGGAAAAGACGGACAAAGAAATTAAATATCAGATGGGGAAGTCATATAAGCGATATTTGTAAGCTAAATAGAGAGAAAAAAGAAATTGCTTAAAAACAGAATAAACATCAAATGTGAGTATGAAAGACAATCACTGGCTTTAAAACAAGTCTCTACAGAAAAGTAAAGAATTGGAAAAAATAAGAAAAGAATTAGAAAACAGAAAAGTATCAAATAAAAAGAGCTTAACCATTCACTCCTAGAATACCAATCTGTGGGCTGTAGTGTAAACCCAGGTTGAATGCCTACTGGACTTCTCAACTCAATGAGGGAACTTTGTGTGCAGTTTGAATTTCTCTGTTTTTCATTTCCTTAGCAACTAGAGCATGTGATTTTTTTAGAAGAGCCTGTGATACACCTTTGCAGTTGTATCCACTATGTCTCTGCTTCTTGGAGTGTTGTTCAGTTAAGTAGGAAGTAACTTCCTTTCCCCTATGTGACTCTGCACATTTTCCCATTATCTGTCTTGAAATCAGATTTTCCATTGTAACTAAAGTAGGTCTTTCAGCTAACAATGATCCAATGATAACTCAATCCTTGCTGTGTGTACCCAGAGACCAGATCAAATAGGGATTTCTGACTCCTTGAACTGCTGATTAAGGGTTTTTATATGATGGTTTCCTACCAATACATTGAGAAGAAGAGAACTATCCCAGTGCCTATCCACTGTACACATTCCAGGACCTTTGGTGAGACTAAAAATTACTTTGATATTAAATCCAGAATTAATTGTGTATTCTGTGTCTCTCTTTTTTTCACCTCCCTCCCACTGTCACAAGACTTCCACCCAGACCACTCAGAAAGAATTTACTCTCCTGTTCCACTGTCCAAGATTCTATTTTTAAAAAAGAAAGATTATATTTGTTTACACCTGAAATCACAGTGCCTTTTTGTAGAGTTTATTCATTCTTTCTTGATTTCACTTAAGTCATCACCTGTGAAGATTTGCATACTAAGCCTTTCTTGCTGTGCCTGTGGCCTACTGGAGACAAGAGAGTTTCTCTCCCATTTTTCTGCTTGCAAACCTATCCATCTTCTCTTTCTAAATATGATTCTATCTGTTGCTGTGAAACCTCAGTGTCTTTATACCCTTACCCATCCCAAGGTTTGTTGTACCCAGCTTTTCATGGTCATTTTCCTAGAGCTTCTAAGGATGTGTGGTTTCCATTACTCTGGTCTCTTATGCCTTCTCTTGTTGTGTTAAAAATATATACTTTTACCCTTTGATATTTGCAACAATTTTGCAGGGAAATTGATAAATAATAGAAATGCAAGTTATACTTGTGATGTTAAGAAAAGAGGATCATCTTTTTGGAATGGTGATATTATGTGGAGGAATAGCAATAGAAAAATTACAAACATCATCTAATCTGATTTCACTCTAAATCCCATTTCACTCTTAATTTAGTGAACTTTTACTATACCTACTGTAGAGGTTATGTGCTTCTGACTAACATAGTCTAAATAACATTCTTAGGTTCTTTTCTCTTTTTTTGAAGATAAAATAGCATGTTTACTTGTGGGAGAAGGCAGCAGAGTCCAATGCTGTTCACAAAGGGTTACTTTTCAATGAAGGACACGTGGAAATTTGAGTTGCCAGTAGGTTATGCCTGAATGAAGGTTCTGGGACTCAGTCTTAACCCCAGAAATCTCAAGACATCTGTGAAAATTTCTTCTTTAGGACAGAAAACGTTCAAAGAGCTGGAATAACCAGGAGAAGTCTAGCTCAGTGGTTCTCAACAGGGAAGCAGTATAACCTCCTCTTGGTGTGCTAGGAAACAGGATGGAAGGGATGTCTGGGATTTTGGAGAGCACTACTAGCTTAGCAGGCAAGACCAGGATGTTAAATGTTTAGTAAAAAACTCCTACCTCTCTGGGCATGATGGCACAAGCCTGTATGGGGAGGCTAAGGTAAGAAGACTGTGCGTTCAAGGCCAGCCTGGGCTATATAATAAGACCCTGCCTCAAAAAAAAAAAGAAAAAAGAACTTCTAAAGCTGCCTGTCTGGCTTAAATCATAATGGCACCCTGGTTTTCCACCCACAATTCCCTCCCAGCTGGTTCTGATGACCTGCCAAGCAGCCTGAGCAGCAGCAAGCAGTCCAAAGCCCAGAACATAGGGACTCAGGAGAGACCTGAAATCCAACTGTCATCTCAAATCCCCACATTTGGTGAAACAGACGAGCTGCTGCTAGTTTATGGTTAATACATCACTCTGGCTTAATTGAGTTTGTAAATCACTCAGCTTCTTCTTCAATCCAGAGAGGGCTGAGAGGACAATGGTTTCAGGGCGCAGAGAGCCACAGGACTCCATGTTGTAGTAAAACCTCTCAGGCTTGCCACTGGGGTCATAGGGAGCCTGTGACTCGTCCTCATCCAGCTCTGAGTACTCACTCTTTGGCCATTCCTCTGGTTTGGGGTACACTGTATGCCTCAGAGCATTATCTGGATCATATTCAAAAGCCACCCCTGCAGTAGGGTTCCATTTGGCAAGTTCTTTGCCAAAGCCCTTTTTGGCATTGGCTCGAAGTCTCAGTTCCTGGCCTTTCCTCAGCTTGACAATGAGGATGTCGTTCTGCTCCACGTAGTCATTAGGGTCATTATCTCGGTTCTGTGATGTCACCGGAATGACCCGGGGGCTGTTGGAGATGAGGTCTCGAGATGTGACATGACGCGTCTGGTCTTCATTGCACCGAACGTCCCACAGAGCACTGTGGGCAGAACTCTTCACATGTGCAGTCCCGAGAGTACTGCAGCTTGTCCACAATGTCATCACTGGTGAGGGGAATTAATCCAAGCCTGTGAATGATGAACTCATCATGAAGGACTGAGGAATTGGCATCAATCTGAACCCAGTCGATGGCTAGCTATTATGGGCACCTCAGCGATGAAGACCCTCCGAATAGAGTTGGCCACTGCCAGGTCCGTATTCTCGATGATAAACTTGACGTTCTCGTCGGTGAGCTCCGTGATCTGCATGGTGGGCTGGTTAGCATACTGCATCACGCCCCCGGCCCGCGGCCCTTTCTTAGGTTCAAACAGCTGAAAAGTTTAAAAATCTATTGCAAGATGTCTGATCCAAGATTCCAGTTTATAAGTGACAGCCCTGTAATATTCATTGATGGACTTAATATATCTAAAGTAGTTATCATATATTAGCTATTAGAATGAAATATGGGGATTACAAAAGAGAAAATATGAAGTGTTTCAACCATTTTCGAGCAGTCATATCAAAGAGGAAATTGGTTTACATACATAGATTCTAAAGGTGGAATAAAAACCTGTGAGTAGATGATAAAAGAAAGATAAATGGATAATTTAATGAAAATAAAAATAATTATGTGCACTTCAAGTAGAAATGGGTATAACTTCTCTGACTGAATTATGCTTATGTGAAAATTTCAGGGAGAATGCAGGACATCCATGCATGTGGGATATCTTGAAGTGACCACTTTCTGAGTTGCCAATTGGTTAGGGTTCAACTTAACCATTGCTTATTTCCTAAACAGAAAAGACAGTAAGATGGGAAGAGAAAATGACTCAGAAATCACAGAATTCCTACTCTCAGGGCTGTCAGAAGATTCTGAACTGCAGCCCATTCTCTTTGGGCTGTTCCTGTCCATGTACCTGGTTACAGTGCTTGGGAATCTGATCATCATTCTGGCTAGTAGCTCTGATTCTCATCTTCACACCCCCACGTACTTCTTCCTTTGCAACTTGTCCTTTATTGACATTTGTTTGGCCTCTACTACAGTCCCAAAGATGTTGATAAACATCCAGGTACAGAATAAAGAAATTTCTCACAGAGGATGTCTCACTTAAGTGTATTTTTTAATGATTTTTGCTGGAATGGATAACTTTCTACTAACTGTGATGTCCTTTGACTGATTTGTGGCTGTCACCCTCTGACTTACGTGGTCATCATGAATCCTTGTCTCTGTGGCCTCCTTGTTCTGACGTCTTGGTTCATAATTTTTGGGTGTCTCTTCTTCATCTTCTACTGTTAACACATCTGAAATTTTATACAGCTACTCAAGTTTTCCATTATGTCTATGATCTCCCTCACCTTCTCCAAGTGACCCACTCTGACACCCACATCAATAACATCATCTTGTACATACCAACTGCCCTGCTAGCTGTGTTTCCTGTCATTGGGATCTTGTTCTCTTACTTTCAGATTATCTCTACCTTAATGAGGATGTCCTCAACTCTTGGCAAATATAAGGCATTTTCCACCTGTGGTTCTCATTTCTGTGTGGTTTCCTTGTTCTATGGAACAGGGCTTGGAGTTTATCTCAGCTCTACTCTGACTCATTCTTCACAGAAAAACATGATTGCTTCAGTGATGTACATCGTGGTCACTCCAATGCTGAACCCCTTCATCTACAGCCTGAGGAACAAAGACGTGAAGAGAGCCCTGGGAAGACTCCTCAGCCAAGCATTGTCTTGTCCTTGAAGGATCTATTAAACTCAGAATGAAGTGGATATTTTATGCTCTTGAGGAAAACATGAATTTCAATATCCTGACTTTTCATCTCATACAAACATGCCTTAATTCCCAGTGTTTACAAAGAACCTATGGGTTTTGATTATACTTACTTAATTTGTATCTATTCAACAACTCAGTAAGAAATTTTTAATAAATGTCTCTTCCTTTTATGTGGTCCCTAAAACTTCAAGTTTGGAAAGTGTCTTTTTGTTTTTGTTTTGGGGTCATTTTTTGTGAAGGGTTTTTGAAAGATAGGGACTCATGAACCATTTTTCTGGGCTGGCTTTGAACCATGATTCTCCTGATCTCCGCCTCCTGAAGATTATAGGTGTGAGCCATTGGTGTCCAGCAGGAAAGTGTTTTACAGTTATTCTTGAGATTTTTCTCATGAACAAAAGAATGCTTAATAGGCACTGATTTTGCATCCTCAAAAATTATCATTCTTCCTTAAAGTTTGTTTTCAATAAAATAAATGGACTGAAAGACATGGAAGTAAAACATTTACCATATCAGGACTGAGTTTGTTGTTTGCATATATGACTCTATTTAACTTACTCTTCTTTGACATTTTTTCTCTCATTCACCAAACTTCTCAAATGGAAAAATTATATTGAGATGGACAATGGGCTGAACCTAACACTGAGCTCAATCTCTTAATTTTGTAACCTTATGTTTTATGAAAAGGATAATTGTACTTTCAGCATCAAATATAGATTCTACATTTGAAAGTGTTCAATTCATGATTCATAAGGGTATACCTCCTAGGATAACATTCCTTCTCCTAAGATAACTCTAATATTCCTCCATTCTTTGTGATCCTTCATATTTAACTCTCTCCTTCTCATTTCATTTCTTTTTCATTTCTCCCTCCCTTTCTTGCTTGATTCTTTTCTCCCTTATTCTTTTTTTTCCACTCTCACTCCTTTTTCTTTGTTGCCACATTTTTAGTTGTTTCATTGACTAATGTTAATGTACTCTGTTAAATAAGATTCTGATGAATGAATATACGTAAGCTGTTAATCCATTTGTTTGCTAATGAACATTTATACAATTTCATTTTTTGGCTCTTGTGAGTAGTGGTAATTACATTTATTTGTTTGAGTACAGTTATGTATGACATTACAACCTTCTATTTAATGAATGCATAAAATATGACATTCCTATAATATTATAGCACTTGGTAATATTGTAGACAACTATGTCTGTGGAATTACACTGTATGATTTTTGCTAAATGATGAAATTAATGTTGCATTTTCCCTATGTTAAGCAGATCATGACTATATTGCTTTCAATTCTTTGGCTAATGAATATAAGAGTTGAATGATTAAATGTTATGTTAATTATATGTTCAACATTTTGAGAAACAGCCTACCTGCTTGACATACTATATGTCACATTTTACATTTGACTATGAGAATTCTAACATGTCTACATCATTGCCAGGACTTGTTATTTTCAAATATGTAATAACTGTAGCTTTCTATAAGTAGAACATGAGTGTGCTTTTGATTTGCATTTCCCTATGAAAAACTGAACATCTTTTCATGTGCTTATTGGAGGTTTATATATCTTCTGTGGAGAAAAGCTTTTCTAGGGCTTTTTCATTTTTTAATTGTGTGGAATGTTCTTTTTCAGTCCTTTATGTTATCTGAATACTTTACCTTTATCAGATATGTGTTTGGAAATATTTCATTTGATTTCTAAACATTTTCCATTATATAAATTTTTGATATTAATATATTCATCATTATGCACTATAGAGACCTTTCATGTTATTTCTCTAATTTAACTGAAATTTTGTGTCTTTTACTCAATATCTACCAAACCTCCATTGCCAAGGCTTGTATAAGCAATCTCCATTTCTATGAGTCTGTATATTTGGATGCACATATAAGTTTGTTCTTTCAACACTTGTCTTTCTATTCAAGGTTCATTGTTCCTAATGTAGTATTACTTGCATTCATCCATTCTGTAGCAAATTGAAGGACATCATTTTTTTTTTTTTATTTCATATTTCTCTTTTTTTTTCATTTTTCTTATTATTCATATGTGCATACAAGGCTTGGTTCATTTCTCCCCCCTGCCCCCACCCCCTCCCTTACCACCCACTCCACCCCCTCCCGCTCCCCCACTCAATACCCAGCAGAAACTATTTTGCCCTTATCTCTAATTTTGTTGTAGAGAGAGTATAAGCAATAATAGGAAGGAACAAGGGGTTTTGCTGGTTGAGATAAGGATAGCTATACAGGGCATTGACTCACATTGATTTCCTGTGCGTGGGTGTTACCTTCTAGGTTAATTCTTTTTGATCTAACCTTTTCTCTAGTTCCTGGTCCCCTTTTCCTATTGGCCTCAGTTGCTTTAAGGTATCTGCTTTAGTTTCTCTGCATTAAGGGCAACAAATGCTAGCTAGTTTTTTAGGTGTCTTACCTATCCTCACCCTCCCTTGTGTGCTCTCGCTTTTATCATGTGCTCATAGTCCAATCCCCTTGTTGTGTTTGCCCTTGATCTAATGTCCACATATGAGGGAGAACATACGATTTTTGGTCTTTTGGCCAGGCTAACCTCACTCAGAATGATGTTCTCCAATTCCATCCATTTACCAGCGAATGATAACATTTCGTTCTTCTTCATGGCTGCATAAAATTCCATTGTGTATAGATACCACATTTTCTTAATCCATTCGTCAGTGCTGGGGCATCTTGGCTGTTTCCATAACTTGGCTATTGTGAATAGTGCCGCAATAAACATGGATGTGCAGGTGCCTCTGGAGTAACAGTCTTTTGGGTATATCCCAAGAGTGGTATTGCTGGATCAAATGGTAGATCGATGTCCAGCTTTTTAAGTAGCCTCCAAATTTTTTTCCAGAGTGGTTGTACTAGTCTACATTCCCACCAACAGTGTAAGAGGGTTCCTTTTTCCCCGCATCCTCGCCAACACCTGTTGTTGGTGGTGTTGCTGATGATGGCTATTCTAACAGGGGTGAGGTGGAATCTTAGTGTGGTTTTAATTTGCATTTCCTTTATTGCTAGAGATGGTGAGCATTTTTTCATGTGTTTTCTGGCCATTTGAATTTCTTCTTTTGAGAAAGTTCTGTTTAGTTCACTGCCCATTTCTTTATTGGTTCATTAGTTTTGGGAGAATTTAGTTTTTTAAGTTCCCTGTATATTCTGGTTATCAGTCCTTTGTCTGATGTATAATTGGCAAATATTTTCTCCCACTCTGTGGGTGTTCTCTTCAGTTTAGAGACCATTTCTTTTGATGAACAGAAGCTTTTTAGTTTTATGAGGTCCCATTTATCTATGCTATCTCTTAGTTGCTGTGCTGCTGGGGTTTCATTGAGAAAGTTCTTACCTATACCTACTAACTCCAGAGTATTTCCTACTCTTTCTTGTATCAACTTAAGAGTTTGGGGTCTGATATTAAGATCCTTGATCCATTTTGAGTTAATCTTGGTATAGGGTGATATACATGGATCTAGTTTCAGTTTTTTGCAGACTGCTAACCAGTTT